CTCCCCTGTTCCTCATCATCCCCCCTCCTCGTTCCCTCTACCCCTGTCCCTCCTCCGCCTCGTCCTCCATTTTCCTATCTCCTCCTCCGCCTCAGCTTATTTTTCCTCCTCCTCTTCGCCCTCCTCCTCCTCCTCCTCCTTCTCCTCGCCCTCCTCCTCCTCCTCCTCCTCCTCTTTCTCCTCCTCCTCCTCCTCCTCTTCCCCTCTTCTCCTCTTCTCCTCTTCTTCCTCCTCCTCCTCCTCCTCCTCCTCCTCCTCCTCCTCCTCCTCCTCCTCCTCGCCTCCTCTTGTGGGCGGGGAGTGGCAGATCGGGTGCGAAGGGGCGCTTCGGCCCCACGAAGAGGGGCGGGTGGGGCGCGATTGGGGCCCCTACAGGCATGTGATTTGTCCGAAGTTGCGCGATGGGGCCCCTACAGGCCCATACAGGCGATGGGGCCCCTACAGGCTCTCCTGCCGAATCCTGTCATTTCCCCCTTTCTCTTTCTTTCTCTCTTTCTCTCTCTCTCTCTCTCTCTCTCTCTCTCTCTCTCTCTCTCTCTCTCTCTCTCTTTCTTATCTCTCTCTCTCTCTCTCTTCGCTGTCTCTCTTTCTCTCTTTCTCTCTCTCTCTCTCTATATATACATATATACCCCTGTGTATATATACATATGCATGTAGATAGGCATGCCGGTAGGTCGGTGTGTGTATAGGTAGGTCGGTAAGTGTGCCTGCGTGCTCGTGCGTGTCCGCATACATGCATGCAGGTATGTATGATTGCATTCGTTCGTATAGTTATGGATTAGTGCGATTGCATGCATGCATGTGTTTAGGTATGTTTGTATGCATGCATGCATGTATGTATGTATGCATGCACGTATGTGTGAGTGTGTATGTGTGCGGCTGCATGCTAGTATGTATGTAAGTATGGTTGCATGTATGCATACACTTATGTGTGTAGGTGTGCATATACGTATGGATGTGTGGATGTGTGCATGTACCCATGTATGCGTACGTACACACCTATCGACATGGTTTCTGTAATAATCGTAAATGGAAGCCTCCCCTGGCCTTTGAGCCCTATGATCTTTGTGAGCCCTTTGGGCCCTCTGAACCCTCTGAGCCTTATGTGTCCTATGAGCCCCATGAGCTCCATGAGCCCCCTGGGCCAAATGAGCCCTGTGAGCCCTATGAGCCCTATGGGCCGTCTGAGCCCTCTGAGCCCCATGAACCCTATGAGCCCTGTGACCCATGAGACCTTTCAGTCATTTGAGCCTCATGAGCCCCATGAGCCGTGTAAGCTCTATGGGCCCTCTGAGCCTGGTGAGCCCCATGAACCCTATGAGCTCTGTGAGCACCATGAGCCTCATGAGCCCAACGAGCCCCATGAGCCCCGTGTGCCCTATGAGCCTTATGGGCCCCATGGGTCCCATGAACCCTATGAGGCCTGTGAGCCCTATGAACCATACGAGCCAGGTGAGCCCCATGAGCCCTCTAAGCCCTCTGAGCCTTCTGGGTACCACCAGGCCTATCAGCCCCATGACTCCTATGAGCCCCCTGGGCTCTCTGTGCCCTCTGAGCCCCGTCGGCCGCATGAGCCCTATGAGACCCATGAACCCCTGTGGGCCTCATGGGCCCTCTATAAGCCCCATGAGCCCCATGAGCCCTCTGAGCCATGTGAGCCTTATGAGCCCTATGAACCCTCTGAGCCCACTGAACCCTATCATCCATATGACTCTTATGAGACCCATGAGCCTCATGAGCCCTATGTGCTTCATGAGCCTTGTGAGCCTTTCGAGGCCCATGAGTTCTATGGGCCCCAGTAACCCTATCAGCCACATGAGCCCTATGAGCCCAGCGAGCCCTGCGAGCCCTATGACCCCTATGAATCACACGAGCCGCATGTGCCCTATGACTTGCATTAGCCCTATAAGCCCTATGAGCCCTCGGAGCCCTACGAGCTTATGAACCCTACTTGCCCTATGGGCCCCATGACTGAAAAGGGCGTATCGTAGTACACGCATATGTATATATATATATATATATACACATGTATGTACGTGTATAAGATATGTCACGCTCTCCTCCATATTGCCAGGTGCACCCATGCAAGTCAACGACTCCCTGGAGGGGCGCCGGGGCCGGGGTAGCATGGGCAGAGTGAGGGCGTAGACGCGGGGAGGATGAGGAGGAGGAGGAGGAGGAAGAGGAGGAGGAGGAGGATGAGGAGGTGGACGAGGAGGAGGAGGAGGAGAAGGAGGAGGAGGAGGAGTAGGAGGAGGAGGAGGAGGAGCAACGGCAACAATGGCTGGCCTGCAACAGCATGTTCGCGTGCTGCATGCCCGCGCTGCCGCCGCTGGCCGCACCCCTCCCCCTCGGTGTAAGAGTCGCGTGCGTGCCGCGCATGGGGAGCTGCCTCCGCAGCGTGATCAAATCTGTGGCCTCCAAGAGCGAGCCCACGGGGCCTTCTGCAGGGTCAGGGCGCGCGCCAGTGGCCCCGGGGTAGGCAAAGATGAACGGCTCAGGCGCCACGTTGAGCAACTGGCTGGGGTCTGATGGGAAATCTCGCACCAAAGGCATGTGACTTGGGATGGCCAGCAAACGTCGGTTCCTCTTTATCGTGGCCTTGAGGTCGTTCAAGAGCTCCAGAGATCGAGCAGCGTCGGGCAAAACCGCCTGCCCCGGGGGAGTCTCGGCGCGCATGACAATGCACACCGCGTGGAGCTTTGACGCCTCGGATGGGTAAACCACGTTCAGCAATTGCAGACGGTGGGCGACAGTCTCGATCCTCTTGCGGGGCACCTCGGGACAGCCAGACACACACAAAACGGGGGAGGATGAGGAGCGGGCCCAGGGATCAGAGGAGACATTTGCTGAGGAGGGGGGTCGGAGTAGGCGGGCGACGAGAGGCTAAGTATGGACGGGGTGGGAGGAAGGAGGGGAGAGAGAGGGAGGGGGGAGAAGAGGCCCAAGGCGGGCAAGGACATGACGAGGCAGGCGGGATGATGTTGGAAAAAAGGAACGCGGGGCAAACATCTTGCGGGCCGAGAAAAGCACCAGGACGGCTCAAGAGGGGCCTAAGAGGGGCCCACGTGGTGTGCCCAGGTTAATGTGTGACTTGCCTGTCTCTGGCCCAGCAGGATGTCCCACTCGTCCTGCAGCAGGTAGTTGTGAAGGTACATCATGGCCTGGTTTTGGTGGGCTCCGTTGACGACAGGCCTGTTCCCCTGCGTAGCCCTGGCCACCGCCTGGTTGACGGCGCGCGCGATCTCCAGCTTCTGGCCGAGGTAGAACAGACTCGTGGCCAGCCTCGTCAGCATGTCGGTGGCCTCGGCGGCTGAGAGAGCGTCGCGCGCTGCCAACGCGCGGGTGATGATGTCGGTCTGGCTCGCGACGACGGCGTCGAACTCTGGGGTGTGGGGCTGCAGGCCGGCGGCGGCGTTGGCGTCCAAGAGCGCGCGGGCTGCCGCGAGGGCGTCCATCGTGAGATGGCGTCTCTATGCTGGTCTGACAAGAACTGGCGTCGCGAGAAGCAATGGAGGTTCAGCCAAAACGGCCGCCGGGAGATGGGGGTGGCGGCGGAGGAGGAGGAGGAGGAGGAGGAGGAGGAAGAGGAGGGGGAAGAGGAGAAGAGCCTCACATTGAATGTATGTGCACATGCTCACGTCATGCTACTTGCAGCTAGCATAACGTGAACATGCGTAGAATGGGGCTGCTCGCTGACCTCCCGCGTGGACCGACGGCCCGCGCGCAGTCCCAGCCGACCCCCTGTTGCACGTGCTGACGTGCGGAGGAGAAACGGGAACAGGAAGATAAGATTATCCCAGTGCGCCCCTACCTCGGAATTGGAGCCTCTAGGAAAGCAACATTCGTGGATGCTGTGCTGCGCTATGCTATGCTCTGCTCTGCTTTGCTATGTTATGCTATGTTGCGCAATGCTATGCTGGGCTAGGCTATGCTGCGCTATGCTATGCTATGCTGCGCTATGTTATGCTGCGCTATGTTATGCTGCGAAATGCTATGCTATGCCATGCCATGCTATGCTATGCTATGCGTTTGCTTTGCCTTCGCTTTTGCCTTCAATGTTGCCTTAGATGTTGCTTTTGTTTGGCGCCCAGGGAGCGCAGCCGGGGGAGCCGCGCGTTTGCTTTTACCTTTGCTGTTGCTTTTGCTTGGCTCCCTGCGCGGGACTGGGGGAACCGCCCAGGGCACTTTCCACTGCCCACCCTCTTTAAGCCAAGCGAGTAAAAACCCTTCTAAGCAGAGCCTATAGGTACGGAAAAACCGAAGCCTCCTCGGATCTCTCGGGGGCCTCTCAATGAGCCTTCTTTCAGGCCTCGTGCACGCGTCCTCTTTGGGCCTGTTGGGGGCTTGTTTGCGGCCCTCGTTCTGACTGTGTCTAGTGTCTAGTGTTGTTGGGGCCTCTTAGGGGCCTCTTGAGCCTTGTGCGGGGTATCATCTTAGCGGCGCCCCGTCGTTCTGATTGTGCGTAGTGTCTGACGTTCACGGTTGGGCAGCGGTCGTCGCGTGAGAGTGTTCGCAAGGACGGGCGAGCGAGAGCAAGGGCAGGCCAGGGCCAGAGGAGGCACAGGAGGGACGAAAGGTAGGATTGGATTATCTCCTGCATGCGGGGGCAAATCTTCACGACTGAAAAGTTGCTTCCACGCGGCGACGCCTGCAATTGGAGCGGAGCGTGAGCGTTAGAGGTCGAAACTGTAACGTAGCACGTGCTACGTCTGTAGTCGAATGATTCGAATGACCTCCAACATGCAAACGTGTGATACTGATCTACAAAAATTGCAAGCCTATTTCCCCATAGGCTTCGCTGCGGCATGTCCCAAAATACTCTGGCTGCGCCCGCGCGCGCCGTCCGCGGTCGAAGATAGCCGCGGGCCATGCGCCGCAGCAGAGGAAACTAGGCAATATCGTGAACATGCTGCCCCTGTTGCAACATGGCTTTGTGTAGTAAAACTCTGCATCTCGCATGGGTTCGAACTGTTTGAATGTTAGCAGGGGCAGCAAGATCAATCACGGAAGTAATCGTCAAGCGTAATCCTGGGTTTCTTCTTGGAGTCAGACTCGCCCCTCTTGCGCTTCGGCGTTGGTTTCGAGCTGAGCTTCAAACGCTGCCCCACACGCTCGGCCGCCATGACAGACATGACCTCATCGCCGACGGAGAGGGGCCAATTCAAAGGCCCAAGACCCGACGACCCCCCCGCAGGGTCATGAGAGGCGCATGGTCTCACACGCGGAATCTGCTATAAAACCTGAGCTTGATGAGCCCCATGAGCCCAGAAGCCCAATGAGCCCCCGAAGCCCTAGGTTTGACCCCCATGAGTTCTATGGGCCGCATGGGCCCTGTGAATATCATGAGCCCTATTTGCCAAATGAGGCCTATGAGGCGCATGAGCTCCATGAGCCCTATTAGCCCCATCAGCTCCATGAGCCCTAGGAGCCCCATTCGCCCTACGAGCCCTCTGGCCCATATGAGCCCTGCGGATCCTACGAGCCCTAGAAAAGCCCTATGGGCCCTATGAGCCACGCGGGCCCTCGGAGCCAATGGGCATATTAGCCCTATGAGCCCTATGCATGGGCCATATGAGCCCTATGAGCCTATAAGCCCTATGGGTCCTATGAGCCCTATAAGCCCGATGAGCCCTCGGAGCCCTACGAGCTCATGTTCCATTTGAGCCCTGAGCCCTATGGGCCCTATGGGCCCCGTGAGCCATATATGAGGCCTTTGAGGCCTTTCAGCCCTATGAACCTCGCGAGCCCTGTGCAAAGGTCCCATGAGCCCCGGGCAAGAGAGGTGGCCGACTGGTTGCCGACAGGCCGAGCGATGTCCGATCTTAATCCGCACGGAACTCAAGATCGGCTGCAAAACAGCGGCGAGAAGCGGAACTGGATACGCGTTGCCAGTCGCACAAGCAACATGGGCATCACTCGTGAAAGAACGCAGGCTCTGCAAGGAAAACCCCTGCAGGGTGAGACGCTCACCTGCGCTCAAATAGCGGCAGACTTCGCGATGATTATGAGCCTTCGCTGCGCCCCCAGCCTTGAGCAGGAAAATATGCCGATTGCTCCTCGTCAGTGTCATGCACACCTCAATGTTGACGGGGTCTTTGCAAACCCTGTTGTCACCTCTGTCCAAACAGAAGCAACAGATATCGGACTCCACATATTTGCCTTGAATGACTCCAGCAATAATGCGCTTCTCATAGTTTGCCAAATTCCGACGCATACTGGCAGTAAGGCTCTCCCGGGGAGTGACGGGCAAGGAATATGATATAAAATCCTGGTCGGGGTTGCAGCGCAAACAAACGATGGGCCCGATTTTCGGCCCACCCCCTCCGAAACCCAAACGGGTCTGACCCCAGGGCGATGGGAACGGGTATAGTTTAACCCATGGGTCCTTCAGAGGCCTCGGCCCGAAAGGAGCTAGCGGCTCAGGGATAGGGCCTGCTGCTACTCGAAGCCCCCGAAGAAACACTCGCGAGCGCTCCTGGGGGACCCCGTAGTCTTTGGCGGAGAGGACGACGTAGTCCCAGAAAAACTCTCGCACTTCCACCTTCAACACATTGATGATCTGCTCAATGAAACTTTCGGATGCGCCCGCCTTGCCCAGGATTCCTCACGGGGGTATAAGGGGGGCGGCGTCAAAGCCGATTCTTTTTCTCAGCGAATCAAGTTTCCCGTTGGGGAACCCCCAACCAACCGAATCGTATGTTTTCTCCGAGAGGGCCTCTTAAAGCACACGTGGGGCACCCAGGATCCTTTGACATTCTCCAGCACGACGAAGAGAAGATGCCCGTCTTTGATTAGTTCGACAGCCCAGCACACGACGCGGCAGTAGATGTCCGATCGCGGGTCCTCGGAAACGGCTCGGAGGCTACAGCTGCACTGGGCCCCCCCCCGCCCGGGCCAAAGCCCCGGGGGGAGAGAGGAGGGGCGCGTGGTAGAGGAAGAGGAGTGGGAGGAGGAGTAGGAGCAGGAACAGGAGTAAGAGGAGGAGGAGGAGGAGGAGGAGGAGGAGGAGGAGGAGGAGGAGGAGGAGGAGGAGGGGCTGCAGGAAGAGGAGGAGGAGGAGGAGGAGGAGGAGGAGGAGGAGGAGGAGGGGGAGGAGAAGGAGGAGGAGGAGGCGGAAGAGGAGGAGGAGGTGATATGCGTGGTCCCACGGGCCCAACACACGCAACGATGTCTCCCTCCTGCCTCCTCCCTCCGAGGAGGAAAGGTGTGGAGGAGGAAAAGGATAATGAGGAGGATGGGGAGGGGCAGGAGGCTTACCGAAATATTAGGGGCCGAGCGCTCCTCCCTGCCCTTGCGCGGCCCCTGGGGCGACCACGGGGGGCACGGGGGCCCGGCGACCAGGCCGTCGCAGGGTCCCACGATCTGATGCAGCGGGACTTTCATGAGGTCACCGTGCTCCTTGCCCCCATCGCCCCCGTCGCGATGAGGGCGGGGGGGGGCGTGAAAAGGAAGGGGGAAGGGGCGGCAGGAACGGGGGGAGTGAACGGGGGCAGGGGGGAGGGGGGGCAGCGGCAGGGGCAGGGAGGAGAAGGGCAGGCGGGGTAGAGGGGGGAGGTGTGTTCGACCCTGATAGTCGCGTGGACCTTGCCCAACCGAGCGACTCCATGGCCCAGGTGGTCCGCGAGAACTGCCTTCAGCGAAAGGGGAGGGATCAATCGTTGTTCGCAGCTATCGCCTTTCCCCTGGTCATAATCAGAGTGAGGGGGCCGAACGGTCTTGCACTGTCGTTGCGGCGAGTGGCCGAAGTGAGGATCCGCAATGAGGATTATGTTTGTTGTCCTCGTCCCGGCGGGCGGGTCGCGGCCCGAGTGGGTTGCGGCGCCGGCGGGCCGCGGCGCGCGTCGGTCGCGGGCGGGTCGCGGCGCCGATGGGTCGCGGGTGGGTCGCGACGCGGTTGAGTCATTCGGCCCCGATCGGAAGTGAATCGTTCGGTCCCCTCGTTTTCGGAAATCCTTCGCTCGGCCCTGTCGGGGCTCGCTCGGGGGCCAGTCACTCCGTCCCCCCAGTGTTCGATCGGAGGCAAGTCGTTCGATCCCCTCTGTCCCTCCGTTTTCGGTCGGAGGGGGGTCGTTCACTCACCCCCGACCGAACGCTGAGGGGGCCGAGCGATTCACCTCCGACCGAAAGCTGAGGGGGCCGAGCGACTCACTTCCACCCACAAATTTACGAGATTGAGCGACTCGCCTCCTCTTTCCTTTAGGCGAGCGTTTCCCCGCCCCCTCCGCCCTACTTCTAGGGGGGGCCGCTTCGTGGTCACCTCGAGCGCGGGGCCGCCCCTGGGGGGGCCACTTCGCCACGAGCTAATAGGTCGTCGCCCCACGCATCACCATCGCGCGGTGGTGCGAGAGGGCTCGGCGCCAAACGTTTCGATGCTGATAGGTCGTCGCCCCTAGCAACGACCCATTAGCAACGAAACGTCTGGCGCCGATTCCTCCCGCGTCACCCCAAATCATCATCACGCGGTGATGCGGGAGGGCCTTTACTGAAGACCTTTTCGCGCAGGAGGCCTCTGGGGCCTGGCCAGGGCCCTCTGTAACTGCCCCGGGAGCCGTTCGGGACGTCTTGGGGGCCATTTTGGGTTTCTTGAGCCATGGGGGCCCCATGGCCCCCACCGCGAAGATCTTCACTGAAGATATTCGCGGGGCCTCTTGGGCCTGGCCAGGGGCCTCTGTAACTACCCCAGGAGCCCTTCGGGAACCCCAAAAGGCCCAGTCGCAAAGATCTTCAATGCTAACATGTCGCGGCGCCCTTGAACTCCAACTTTGGGGCCCTCTTGGAGCCCCTCGTGGACCCCTCTCGGGGCCCTTCTTGGGGCCCCCCTGGCCCTCGGAAGGCCTTCCCCTCCGACCGAAAGTTGCAGGGGGCCGAGCGACTTGCCTCCTTCCTCCCTCGAAGGCGCGCGTCTCCTCCCTCCCTCCTTCCTCCCTCTGCGCGCCCCTCCAAAGCGGGCGTCTGGCGGGGCCGATGGGTCGCGGGCGGGTCTCGAGGCGGACGGGTCGCGGGCGGGTCGCAGGCGCCGCGCCCGCCCGCCCGCGTCCTCACTCTTATCTCTTATCCTTACGGAGTGCTACGTATTTGTCCTCTGCCTCCCTCTTTTCGTCCTCCTCCCCCTCCACTTCCTCTTCCTCCTCCTCCTCTTCCTCCTCCTCCTGATCCGTCTCCAAATCCCACCGTGTCACCTCCCCCCCCTCGTCTTTCTTCCTCGTTTCACCTCATACACCTGGTTGGGGGAGGCCCTCTTGTTCGGGCCTCGTGCGCTGTCTCGAGGTCGTATGCGTACCGAGCCTCATATTCGACCCCGATCTTCTCAAGAGCGTGACCGCATCCGTCGATGCCGACGCACGGCATCGCCACAATGATGGGGCGCGCGAGCTTTCTCTTGCTGAGCTCTGTAGCAGCCTGCAGGGCTAGTGAAACGCAGATCGCTGATGGCACTGAAAATGTTTGTGCATGTGGTTTTGTTTGTTGCGGTGCCTGTCCCATATTCATCTGCGGCTCGGGGGTCAATCTGATGATCGACTCGACCTTGTCTTCCCAAGTGGGGCCGGCGTGGCTGATGCGTGCGCGCGGGGAGGGTGGCATCTTGCTGGGGAGCGAACGGCGCGGCAGCCTGCAAACGTCCAAGCCAAACGCTATGACGTTCAATGCTGCAAGTGTAATCTCCAGCCCGTCATCCACCTGCCTGCCTCCGCCTCCTCTTACCTCCCCTCCTCCTCCTCCTCCTCCTCCTCCTCCTCCTCCTCCTTCTCCCCCTCCTCCCCCATCCTCCTCCTGTGCCTCCTCCTCCCTCCCCCTCCTCCTCCTCCTCGTCCTCCTCCTCCCTCCTCCTGTTCGTCCCCCTCATCTTCCTCCTCCTCATCCTCCTCATCATCATCGTCATCATCATCAACATCATCATTAGCATCATCATCAGCATCACCATCTTCATCATCATTATCATCATCATCGTCGTCGTCTTCGTCGTCGTCGTCAGTATCATCATCATCATCATCATCATCATCATCATCGTCATCATCATCATCATCATCAACATCAGCATCAGCATCATCATCATCATCACCATCCTCATCCTCATCCTCATCATCATCAGCATCATCATCATCATCCCCCTCCCCCTCCCCCTCCTCCTTCTCCCCCTCCTCCTTCTCCTTCTCATCCTCCTCCTGCTCCTACTCCTACTCCTACTCCTGCTCCTGCTCCTATTCCTACTCCTTCCCCTCCTCTTCCTTCCCCTCCTCCCCCCTTGTGTTCTTTCATTCTCCCCCTGTTCCTCCTCTTTCTCCTCTTTCTCCTCCTCCTCCTCCTCCTCCTCCTCCTCCTCCTCCTCCTCTCCATTCTCCCGCTCCTCCTTTTCCTGCACCTCCTGCTCCTGCTGCGCCTCCTCTCCCTCCCCCTCCTCCTTCTCGGCCATCGGTTTCACGCCCTCCGCCCCCCCCCCCTCCTCGCCCTTTTCCCCGAGCGCGGAGGGGGGGGTTCATTTGCATTCCGTTGCATTCCATTTCACTCGGCCTCCTCCTCCTCCTCCTTTTCCTCCTCTTCCTCCTCCTCCCCCTCCTCTTCCTCCTGATCCTCCGTCTCCTCCTCATGTTCCTTCTCCCCCTTCCTCATTGCCGCCGCCGCTCAGGAGGGCGAAGCTGGGCTTTCCACCCGGGGCGTTAAATCGGTTCGCGAGCGCCTCTGCAAACGGGATGCGGCCTCAAGTCCCTGCAGCGTCAGCGAGGCGAGTCGCGCCATCATACTCAGCATGTGATCCTCGGGACGTGGGGGGGTCTGGGTTTTCGGCCTCGAGCGCTTCTCAGGGGAAAGTCCACAGGGTTCTGCCTTCCTCTTCCGCTGCGGCGTCGCATCTGCTGCAGGAGACGCGTCCATGTCGGCCTCGGGGCCGTCGGGACCGCCGAAGCAAGTTGAGAATGCCTCGAGAGCAAAGGCTGCAGTCACCTCTCTCTCCCTCTCTCCTTCTCTCCGCCCCCCGTCCAATCCCCCCCCGTCGCCCCTCTTTCCCCCTTTCTTCCCTTCGTTCCTGCATGTCCATGCCCCGTATGTCCGCGCCCGTCCCCCCCCCCATGCTGGCCGCGGGAGGCACGCGGCCGCCTCTGCCGCCGAGACGCAAGGCGAGCTCGGGGGGGATGGCGGGGCACGCGTGCGGACAGGGCAACGGGGCGAAGGCTGCATTGGTCTAAACTCCCGGGGGCGGGGGGCGGGGCGCCATGCCCCCCCTGGGGGAGGGGGCCGTACAGACGTCGGGGACACATGCCGGACATATGCCGGACATGTGCCGGACATATGCCGGACATGTGCCGGACATGTGCCGGACATATGCCGGACATATGCCGTACAGATACGACATGTCCGGCACATGTCCGGCATATGTCCGGCATATGTCCGGCAGATGTCCGGCATATGTCCGGCATATGTCCGGCATATGTCCGGCATATGTCCGACGCCGTGCCCCCGGAGGGTTTGTCGGCACCGGGGCGACAGGGGGCCCGGGGGACGGCGGGTCGGGGGTCGATGAAGGGGAGCATGGAGGATGAGGAGAAGGAAAAGGAACGCGATGGAATGTTGATCGGGGGAGGACGAGGATGAGGAGGAGGAGCAGGAGGAGGATGAGGAGGAGCAAGAGGAGGAGGAGGGGGAGAAGCAGGAGGAGGAGGAGGGGCAGGAGGGAGGAGAGGAGGGATAGGAGGAGGGAGGAGGGGAAGGAGGAGGAGGAGGAGGAGGAGGAGGAGGAGGAGCAGGAGGGATTCAGTCAAAAGGAGGAGGAGGAGGAGGAGGAGGAGGAGGAGGAGGAGGAGGAGGAGGAGGAGGAGGAGGAGGAGGAGGAGGAGGACCCCTTATGAGCCCTATGCGCCCGAGGATTTCTATGAACCCTATAAGCCCCACGAGCCTTATGAGCTTTAGAAACCCTATCAGCCCTATGAGCCCTGTGTTCCTTCTGAGACCTTATGAGCCCTATGAGTCCGATGTGCCCCATGAGCCCTATGAGCCCGATGACCCCTACGAGACCTATGAGCCGCATGAGCCCTGCGAGCTTGATGAGCCCCATGCGCCCCATGAGCCCTGTGAGGCCCATTAGCTCTATGAGCCCTATACCAGCCCTGTCAGCCCGATGAGCCCCATGAGCCTTATGAGCCCGATGTTTCCTATGAGCATTAGGAGCCCTATGAACCCTATGAGCCCTATGAGGCACATGAGCCCTATGAGCCCTATGAGCATGAACGCTTTCATCCCTATGAGCCTTCGGAACCCTACGAGAAAATGCCCCCCCATGAGCCCTGCATGCCCTATGAGCACTGTGAACCCTGGGAGCCCTAGAAGTGTTAAAGGCGACGCGCAGCGAACCAGTACAATTGTGCATATGTAAGTATCGATGTACACCTGTT